GTTTCTTGATTGGTTGTGTGGATATTTTTTGAACTGTGGTCATGGTATCTTGTATACCTGATATAGTCAATAAAGGGTTTTTATTTCTGTGTGATGCCAAGTGTTTGGCCCATCCCACATGGAATTACATGCACTGCTATTTATTAAACATCAAAACAATATTACATGCATCTTCTGGTAACTTTCAAATAAAAAAATCACAAATTCAGAAATGAATAATTACGTTGCCATGAATAATTTTAAATTATTAACTCAAATTGTTACCAAACTCTTTATATAAATAAGTCTTAGAAACTGACTGCTTCCGTAGTTTTATCTGAAAAGAGTCTGTTTATGTTTGTAATGAACAAACAAAACAACTTTGCTGCTAATGAACCTGTTTGTTTTTCACTACATATTCCCCAGTGACTTAACTCTCATATGGCTTGTTACATAATATGTACACTGTGATATAAGATTCTTCTTGGCAAACCTCATTAATGACAGTCATTATAATCAGCACAGGGGAAAGTAAAACTGTAGTTTGAGTGACAGAATGACTGAGAGATTTATTGTGCGATTACCGATTAATTAGCAGCATCCAGTCATTAGTGTTCATTAAACAGAATTAAATGAGACATTTCACCAAAGAAATCTGAGATGACTTCCAACTGTGGTACTAATTCTCTTTGATTCATGCTTTAATCCTTTTTTCTTACTGCTGTCATCCTTATAGCATATATACTATTGAATGTAATTTATAAGAGCAGAAAATATGTTTTTGATTGATTTGAAAAGCCAACAGACAATGAAGAAGCTGTGTAGTTGCAGTTAGTGTTTATCATGACATTTAGTTGAACCTTGTTGCATCACCGTCATGCACAAAATACAATGTAAAGATAACCACTCAGGTATTATTGATTTACTTGATGAACCAAAGCATAATTATAAATTAAGAAATGTTGACAATGCTGTTTGTGAGAATTAATAATACGTTTCAGTCCTGCTAAACCCTTTCTATCTCTTCTGAGTGTCTGCGGACTAAAATAACCAACCGGGGGCCAAGCTGTCACCAGCTCAGGTTTCTGGCATATGTGTGTGTGTGTGTGCATGTGAGTGTGTGTGCTTCAGGTTCCTGGCCTCATGCCAGCAGCTGCCTCACGTGCACGCTCCCACCACCCACTGTGCACGGCAGGCTTGCACAGAAATAGACATGCCTGGCACTTGAAAGATATGAGAAAGGTGTGAGCGCGTTGTGTAATGAGACGAGTATATAGACGTGACTTAATCAGAGGAAAGGCTCTTTTTATATTGTATGTGAACCGTGAGTCACTGGCTGAATAATAATTGTCGATCCCTGTAGGAAAACTCTTTGTGTTTCTTCACCTGCAGCATAGAGCAGGTTCAGCTCTGCTTAATGGCACTATGATAACTTCAGACTGAAATTAGAAACGTTGTTGTACATTTTGATGAAAAAGTAAAAAAGACAAACCTAAAAGTAAGAGTCACATGCAAATGATTTAAAAAAAAATAGAGAAGAAAAGAAATCAATGTCAAACTGTCCCCATCAGTAATATAAACACAGATATTTGTATATAATACAATAGATTTGTAATATAAACATACCTTACACTTTCGCAAATTTCAATAGATTTCTGTGGGTTTCACTCAGGATAAATTGTTGATTTGCTTAACTAGAAATACAAAAAGATAGAAAAAAGTAATAAAAATGATTAAGTTATTAATGGAAA